TAGCTCCAATTGTTCTGTGACCTGTCAATCATCAAACCGGGGGTCATATTTCATTATGTGTTCATTTTTATCTGAAGTTGTACCCATGGATGTATAAAGAATAGTTCTACCGCAGTTATTCTCCGTGGGGACTGCCGGCAACAATCTTGATTCTGATTGGCCAGAAGACTCGAAAAAACATCAGCAGAGATGTTTTATTGTGAAGATGATCACTACGTGACAGAAGTTTTCAAAACCATTTATGGTCTCCGGTACTTCCAGTCCAACGCCTACTGCATGCACAGCGTTAGAGAATCGGTCCTTCAAAATAAAAGTTTGCATTTTCCCCCAAAAAAAAAAAAATTCCAATTTTTTTTTTCAACTTTTTTTTCTTCACTCACACATCCGCGACCCACTTGAAACGGGTCCGCGACCCACTTTTGGGTCGCGACCCACCAGTTGAGAACCACTGGTCTAATGGATAGTGAGGTGGGCTGAAGATCGGAAGGTTGTGAGTTCAAATCCCGCCTGGAACACCACCACTAGTGTGCCCTTGAGTAAGGCACTTAGCCCTCAGTTACTCCAGGGAGAATGTCCCTGTCATTGGTAATTGTAAGTCGCTTTGGATAAAAGCGTCAGCTAAATGAAATGTAATGTAATGTAATGAAAGAACGATACAAGAAATCTAAGACAATATTAGTTTCCTGAGCAGTAAGTTACCTGGGGGGAAAAACATGTTCTTTGTCATTTAAAAACCCTCCAAATGTACCTTGCGACGCAGCTAGATTCGTAACATCCCAATATCACACAAAATCCAACGATCAAAGCCGAGGAAACGGTATTGTAAAAGACTTCTTTAGAGTTTACCAAAAAGAAAAAAGGCTATAAAATGAAAGGCCTTACCTGCAGGATTTGAAATAAAATAAACCACAGTATTTATAACTTAACTCTCCTCCTTGTTTTTAGAAGCCATACTATAATGCTCACATTGCCGCTGACCCCCCCCCCCCCCCTCTGCTCATCTTGCCTCAGACCCCCCCCCCTCTATCCCCCCTTCCATCAAGCCCCCCCCCCCCGCTTCACTGTGAGCACAGGACAGGTCCAGAGTCTGATGGAAAAACTCCACCAAGGCAAGGCTGCTGGCCCTGATGGTATCAGCCCCAGGGTCCTGAGGACCTGTGCACGCCAGCTGGCTCCTGTTCTCCAGTATCTATTCAACCTGAGCCTGCACTTGGAGACCATCCCGGTGCTGTGGAAGACATCATGCGTTGTTCCGGTCCCTAAAAAGACAACTCCTTCTGGGCTCAATGACTATCGCCCTGTAGCACTCACATCTCATGTGATGAAGGTGCTTGAGAGACTGGTCTTGGCCCATCTCAGACCGCAGGTGAGATCATTCCTTGACCCTCTGCAATTTGCCTACCAGCCTCACCTGGGGGTGGACGATGCCATTATTTACCTGCTGCAGCGTGCTCACTCATACCTGAATGGATCGGGTTGCACTGTGAGAATCACCTTTTTTGATTTCTCCAGTGCATTCAACACGATCCAGCCTCGGCTACTGAGTGACAAGCTGCAGGCTATGAGGGTAAACTCGTCCACCATCTCCTGGATTACCAACTACCTCACGGACAGACCACAGTACGTCCGGCTGGGCAGTGTGCTGTCTGATGTGGTGGTTGGTAGTATTGGAGCCCCACAGGGGACTGTGCTGTCTCCTTTCCTGTTCACCTTATACACCTCTGACTTTCTATACAACTCAGAGTCATGCCACCTGCAGAAGTTTTCGGATGACTCTGCAGTGGTAGGGTGTATAAGGGATGGACGGGAGGAGGAGTACAGAGCGCTGGTGGGTGATTTTGTTGAGTGGACTGGAAGAAATCATCTGCTTTTGAATGTGGCCAAGACCAGAGAGATGGTCATTGATTTCAGGAGGAAGAGGACATCTCCTCCTCTGCCCCTGTGCATTCTGGGAGAGGATGTGGCAGTTGTGGAGGTCTACAAGTACCTGGGAGTGCACTTAGACAATGGGCTGAACTGGAGGATCAACACTGACGCTGTGTACAAGAAGGGGATGAGCAGACTCTATTTTCTGAGGAAGCTGAGATCCTTCAACGTATGCAGTAAGATGCTGGAGATCTTCTATCAGTCTGTTGTGGCTAGTGCACTCTTCTTTGCTGCGGTCTGCTGGGGGGGCAGCATCAGAGCCGGTGACACCAGCAGGATCAATAAACTGATCAGGAAAGCTGGGTCAGTCATCGGCATCAAGCTGGAACCCTTTGAAGCTGTGGTGGAGAGGAGGACACTGAACAGGCTGTTGTCCATCATGGATAACCCCACCCATCCTCTCCACCTGCAGCTGGACAGTCAGCGGAGCTCCTTCTCCTACAGACTGCTGCAGCTCCCCTGTCTCAAGGACAGATACTGGAAAACATTCCTGCCCACTGCAATAACTCTGTACAACAAATCACCTCTGGCTGGAAGAGAACTCTCTGCTCCATAGTTTCTCTAGAAATAAAACCACCTTGTACATTTTACTCACACATAATCTGTTTCATATTTAATACTCCATAATTCCATATATTTTGAATATATATATATTTGTATATTTGTATATATATATATATATATATATATATAATATCTGTATGTATATTTTGTATTTTGACATGTATATTTTATATTTTATTTTATATTTTATTTTATTTTATTTCTATTCTTGTATATTTTGTTTTATTGTAAAATGCCTTTTATGCTGCTGTAACAAAAACAATTTCCCAATTTGGGATCAATAAAGTACGATCTATCTATCTATCTATCTAATAATATGTGTGGGGGAAACTTCTGTAGCAATGGAGAGTCAGGACTCAGAGAGACACGAGGAGAGCTGGAGCTTTGATGGCAAACACTGACGGTTTATTTGGAGTTACAGTACGGCCGGAGAATTCACAAGACAGGTGGTGTGTCACGAGTTGACACAGCGGTTGCTAAACCAATTCTGAAGAACTCTTTCTGTAGCTCGAGGTTTTAACTAGTTCAGAGTGTAATAATCAACATTCTTTATCAGTGAGACTAAAGCAATATGGACCCTGAATCTAACTAGAGCGCTCGTCCATAGAAAAGAATGTGCGCCAGGGAACCTTCGTTCCTGAACAGTAAACTACCTCATGGCGCCTTGTGCTCGGTCATAGACTGGCAACAACAATACGCCCAAGCTGCCCCTCCTTAAGAGAGATAGCAGCAATACCCAAGGCCGTAGACCTATGCCACGGGAAAGAGACAGTGAGAGGAGAAAACGATGAACTGTGTCGAAGGTTGAATACCTAAGCAAATTATTCCCTAACACTATGTGGAGTTAAAGCCGAATGATATGAGATGATGCGGTGTTTATTTGCACCTGGTCACTCTAAAACCTTCAAGTTATTGTTCTCAGGAACCTTAAAACCAACTAACTTCTCATGTGAGGCATATCACATCTGAAATATTAAATATCATGCAGTATGGTACGCTTATGTTTAACCATTTCTCTATTGAATTTACACAACAATTACTTGATAGTAATATAGAAAATGTGAAGCTGCTCATTTGGAAACTAACTGGAGATTCTTTAATGTTAAAAGGAACCCATCAAATGTAATGGCTCTTTAATAGCACCGCTAACGAGAAACTTAATGTCACAATTAGACCTCAACACTTAGCCTTCCCAGCTCTAATGAAGTGCGAGTACATTATTTGCAGTCAGTGGTCGCTGTAATATTCATTTTCATAATAACCTTTACCCCCCAGCTTCAGGGTTTGCCAATTAATGTACATTATTAGTTATTGCCTCCAGTCATTTAGGGCAAGCCCCCCCCCCCCCCCCCCCCCCCCCTTCTTCAGCAATGGTAACCACAATAAATACATTCACAATAAAAGCCTCTTGCCTGAAAGGTCAGTGATTAAAAAGTCAAGTTGGAGAGCTGTACTACTCACAATTAAGCCTTTGAGATCTTGTTGTGAGTTGAGTGTGTTGGTAATTGTTATTTGTTTGTCAGCAGGAATATGGGAAAAACGACTGCCTTGATTCTCATGAAACTTGGTGGGAAGGTGTATCGTGAACCAAAGAAGAACATGTTGGAGCAAATCAGGATCTCAGGTAAGATGAATTTCTTTAACATTGCAAGATGAGGTATTGGCTTTACTTTTCAAACCCGGATTTTGCCAATTAGCTCTGAACTGTTGCTGATTGGCTAATGGTTACACAAGCCAAAACATCATGATGACATCATAAAGTGGCCAAAATCTGATCAGCTCATTTTCAGACAGGTTTTTATATAAATGAATCAGGACAAAAAGAGAGAGAATCTTTGTTCCTGAAACTTTCAGAGTCTCTTTACACAGAGGGAACACATGGTGATGAAGAAGAGACATGAAGAAGAGGGGACACATGTTGATGTAGAAGAGACATGAAGAAGAGGGGACACATGTTGATGTAGAAGAGACATGAAGAAGAGGGGACACATGTTGATGTAGAAGAGACATGAAGAAGAGGGGACACATGTTGATGTAGAAGAGACATGGAGAAGAGGGGACACGTGTTGATGTAGAAGAGACATGAAGAAGAGGGGACACGTGTTGATGTAGAAGAGACATGAAGAAGAGGGGACACATGTTGATGTAGAAGAGACATGAAGAAGAGGGGACACATGTTCATGTAGAAGAGACATGAAGAAGAGGGGACACATGTTGATGTAGAAGAGACATGAAGAAGAGGGGACACATGTTGATGTAGAAGAGACATGAAGAAGAGGGGACACATGTTGATGTAGAAGAGACATGAAGAAGAGGGGACACATGTTGATGTAGAAGAGACATGAAGAAGAGGGGACACATGTTGATGTAGAAGAGACATGAAGAAGAGGGGACACATGGTGATGTAGAAGAGACATGAATAAGAGGGGACACATGTTGATGTAGAAGAGACATGAAGAAGAGAATTTTGCATAATAGGTGACCTTTAAGTGTCCATCCGTGCTGCTCACCTGTATCCTGGAGGGGGCGCTCAGTAAGACGGTGAAGGAGATGGCGGTGGCGGCCATGGCGTGTGTGGAGGGGAGGCCGTACTCAGCATCGACCCGGGGCTCCAGCTTCACCACTGGGGGGGAGGGGGGGCGAGGAAGCTTCAGGACGTCCTTCATCACCTGGCCGACGTACATCACCACCTGAGGGAGGACACAGGGGACATGCGTGTGTGAAGACCAAGGTATTAATACACAATGCAAAACACAAGCAGGTGAAGATTAGTCCATAATGTGAGGCGTATGGCACAGTGGGTTGTGCGTTGGTGTTGGGATCAGGGGGTCACAGGTTCAAACCCCACTGCAGTCAGCATGTCGTTGTGTCCCTGGGCAAGACACTTCACCCCAAATTGCTCCTGTGGTGATTGTCCACAGTACTGAGTATGTAAGTCGCTTTGGATAAAAGCGTCTAACAAGTGACATGTAATGTAATGTAATGTAATAATCCTTGGTAAGAAAAGCGTGAAAACGGGGTTCATGTGTGTCTCAAAAACAAGGTGCTAATACATAATCGGGGATCATTTATTGTAATTATGGGTGATAACAATAAGTTTCACTTCACTTTTTTATTTCAATTCCAACCTTGGTCATGTCACCATATGTTCCTCTTTTGACCACGTTCATAAATCATTAAACAACACCATAAAAGCACGGTGCAAAGTATCTAGATGCGTTTACAGTAGTCCGCCGTTCTTATTAAACATCCACGCTGTATAGAAAACTGTAGTTTCCCCACAGCAGCAGACGCACATTTATGACGTCATAAATACGTCGATAGTGTAAGTGCAGTCGGATTCTCAAAGCACCGCAGTCTCTTCTCCTAAGTCCTTTTGAATTCTCCTATCCACTATTCCTTAACCCCGTGACGTTTCACACAGAGGTCAAGGAATAGACAATAGGAATAGACGATAGGAGCTGATTTTTGGACTATTCGACTGCAACCCTGGTCAAGGATGTGGTTTCGGAGGGAGGGGGCAGTGACGGAGAAGGCTCTGTCCCCTCAGGTTTAAATCGATTTTTTTACTGCTTAAGTGCTAAACATGTTAACTCAGGTACATAAATCATGTGAGAAGTAGGGACATTTTCTCATAGACTTCAATACAATGGGACTTAGAGACCATGTGATCTGTTGCAACGTTGAACCCTATTGAAATAGTGCATAATTAACCTGTTAAGCCCCGAGCCTGTTTTTCAGGTTTCAGGCTCGAAAATGACATGCCCAAAACAAATGACTACAACTTCACTTCTAAAAGGGTTATATGAATAATTTCTTTTATCAAAGCAAGGTTACATCTGTGAGTTGGATGTAGAAGTGTCAGAATCAATATAGATTTTTCTCAGTCAGAGTAAATTCAGATGGAACATAGTAAAAAAAGGTAAATTCTTACCTCCGCCTAAAGAAAAAACATTACTTATAGTGAAAACTACCCTTGAATGATGGGATGGTAGACTAAAAGCTTTAGGAATCCAAACTATAACATATAATAAGTACCCTGTATCAAGATTGAGGCAAAACAAGTTAAATTTGACCTTTTTAGAGAGGTTTAGCAAAAAAAAGTTCCAGGCGGAATAAGCTTTCGGCACATTTGGGTACATCTGGTTCCATCAGTGCCATTTGACCTTTTTCAGGTACCAGACTATAAAAATGATGTATTACATTGAATTATCACCATAGGTATTCATTCCATCCAAAGAAAAAAAATTTAAATTTAATTTTTTTATAAAAAATTTAAAAATTTAAAAAAAACTTTTTACATTTAGGCTTCGTATAATAGAGATGAATCACCTATACGTTTATATAAGTCATTACATCACAGACATGATCACAGGAGCAGAACTTAGAGCTGGAGGAAGATGATGATAAAATACAGAATCCTGATCATGCTCTGCTCTAAAAATGAACCACACAGTGTAATGAATAAGTAATAAGTAACCATTTCCCTTCAACACAAAAATGAAAGAAAGAAAGGAAGAAGGAGGAGGAGGAGGGGGAAAGAGTGGAGAGCCACCCTGGTGTAAAGTGCAGACGCACAGAAACACAATCTATTGTAAGAAACCGAGAGTTCAGGAGGTTTGCTGACGCAGCGTCTTCTGCTAAGGAGGGTCAGACAGAATGACAAGGTGTGTGTGTGTGTGTGTGTGTGTGTGTGTGTGTGTGTGTGTGTGTGTGTGTGTGTGTGTGTGTGTGTGTGTGTGTGTGTGTGTGTGTGTGTGTGTGTGTGTGTGTGTGTGTGTGTGTGTTTCTCCCCAGCGGTCCTCTGCTCCTGCTCCGGGTTTATTTAAAGTTCCTCCTTGTATATTTAATGAGAGGCTGTGTTAGAGGAGCACTAATGTGTGTGTTTAAGGATGAGAGGAGAGAGGCTGGTATTTCCCTGTCTGCTGGACCTGCAATCAGGAAGCGTTACCATGGCAACTGAGACATTTAATTACCTTGCTGACCCGCCATTAGGGAAGCGACTTAATTGTATTCATGTTTTTTTGCACTTAAACTTATTTTATCTTATTTGATTTTGCCTTTTATTGGACAATTTAATTAATTAACCTTCCTGTATTTATATAATAGCTTAATTTAATTTAATATTTTATTTTATATTGGACATCTTACTTTAACTTCTTCTCTCTGTATATTTTATTTAATATTTAATAGTATATTTAATATTTCACCTCAACCTCTTATGCTTCTATAAATATCTGAATTTTATCTTAATACATCTTTTTATTGCACATCCTTACTTTAACTTCTTATGTTCACGTATACATGTTTATTCATTTAAATGCAGCAACTGTCATAAAACCTAATTTCCCTCACTAAATCTAAAGCATTCTCATATAGATCTATCCAGAAGGTGTTGGACGGGGTTGAGTTAAAGTTCTTCAACAACAAACTGGTAAAAAAAAACATTTGTTGACCTTTTTATGAGTCCATTTATGGCCCGAACTACACTCTATTATTTCTCATTATAATGTGGTTAGATTACATTACATTACATGTTACTTGTTAGACACTTTTATCCAAAGCGACTAACATACTCAATACTGTGGACAATCACCACAGGAGCAATTTGGGGTGAAGTGTCTCAGGGACACAACGACATGCTGACTGCAGTGGGGTTTGAACCTGTGCCCCCCTGATCCGAACACCAACGCACTAGTCCACTGCGCCGCACGCCTCCATCCGTTTAGCACTTTGAAAAATTCCCTTAGTTGCTTTTTTGCAGTTGAGTTGAGAAGCCTTTAGCCTAGATTTAGGAGGATTTTTGTTCACATTTTTTTTAGACCAGGACTGCGTGAAAAAGAGCTCTTGTGTCTCAATGGGACCTTTTGTGACTAAATAAAAGATGCATGCATTTTAAAAGAGGCTTGAAGCAGGAGGAAATAGCTCGCCTGGCTCTCTCCAAAGTTAAAAATACACCTAACAAATCAGACTAATACATTGCATCATGTTTCTCTAACTCACAAACACCAACCTAACGAGATGTTTAAACTGCAGCCGCAAGTGATCAAAATCTGATTTAAGAGCTGTTGGATTATTTAAGTGATATCAATATTGAATTTTTTTTAAATACACATTTTCAATTCTACTTTGAGTGTGATTCCTTTGCCACACAACACACATTAAACAAAGTTACACACACACACACACACTCTACTGCATGCAGTGGACAATAGACAGCAGTGCTCTAATCCCATCTATTCACCATGACTGTGTACTCATGCAACAAGCCACACAATGAAACTGCCTACCTGTACAAGTTTGTGCATAATATGATACACACACACACACACTGACACACACACACTGACACACACACACTGACACACACACACTGACACACACACCATCAACACACACATTAAATCCAGCAGCTCATTGCTTCCTTTGTACGAGTCACATCAAAAAGGACTGACCCAGGGAGAGTGGTCACATTAAGGGAAGAGTCAAAGACAGGTCCGCCCACACACCCCCCCACACACACACACCACACACACACACACACACACACACACACACACACACACACACACACACACACACACACACACACACACACACACACACACACACACACACACACACACCACACACACACACACACACCACACACACACACACACACACACACACACACATACACACACACACACACACACACACACACACACACACACACAAGCTTGAGTGCTTTCTGGTGAATAAGTGTATTGATCGAGGGCTGGTGCAGCTTTGCACTTTGATCTGTCAACATGGGTGTGTGAGTGTTTGTGTGAGTGTTTGTGTGAGTGTTTGTGTGAGTGTTTGTGTGTGTGTGTGTGAGGGGCTACAGGTCATTGTTTGAATGGAGAAAACACACAAGATGTTTGTTTTGATCCACAGCAACATGATAATTACATGGTTACTAGTTGATATTTTACAGCCCAATGACCACCACGCTAGAGAAAACTAAAATGATGCTTTTTTGTCTAGTTTAAAACAGACAACGCCCCAAATACTCATCGAACACCTGCCTGACATTGGGTATAACTAATGTTACACTTGCTTGGTTTTGATAATTCCACTCTGAATATCTTCAAATCAACAACCACAAGTCAAAATGCTATTTCATTTCACGAGGTGTTCCCCAGGGGTCATTACTGGGTCCACTCCTTTTCATCGTCTTCCTCCTTCCCCTTGTTACTGTTCTCCGTCACCATGATGTCCACCAGATGACACACACACACACACACGCATGTATACATCTTAATCAAATCAACCACTGCTAACTGGGTCCGAAACCAGTCTAGCACAATCCTCCACAATCCTGAAAGTATCATGAAAAGACAGCTTAATTTCGGCAACAATCCAAATACCCAATGGAAAAATCCCAATGGCTGTTTGTTGAGGGAACCAGGGAGATGCTAACTTCTGAACTAAAATACTTTATCACTGAAGGACTCAAATGTTGTTATTCATTTTTGTTAATGGTTAATTGTGTTCTATTTAGGTTCAAGCACTGTTAACTTGATGCAGTTGTTATGCCAGTACAAACAGTGTGATATTGCCTTATCATCATTACAAGGAAACTGTGGTCACACTGTTTGTATTGGCATAATAACTACATTGTTCTGCATCAAGTTAACAGTGCTTGAACATAAATAGAACACAATTAACCATTAACAAAAATGAAATTTTTCTGACAAAGTATTTGTATTCACAGATGAACAGATTCTGATCTCCTGCCTTCATCAATGATTGCTAATCCAAGTCCAAGTTTTGTCTTCTGCGGATAAGGTGAGTGTTTGTCACTGAACGTGGCCATCCTCTGTCATCATTAATATTACCCACGTCACATTGTTTGCCCTCTATGTACAACTTACAGCTTTTTGATATTCCTAACAGCACAGTAGGTGCATCATTTGCATGAAATTATACTGCAAATGTAAACCATGCAACGCGACAATGTAATTCATGACCATATGCTTAATGACAGCTACTGTTTTCTAAGTCGACCAAAGTCACCCTGCAAGGAAATGAACAGAGTAAAGTAGGACAGAAGGTGCGTGTGTTTATAATAAGTGTGTGTGTGTGTGTGTGTGTGTGTGTGTGTGTGTGTGTGTGTGTGTGTGTGTGTGTGTGTGTGTGTGTGTGTGTGTGTGTGTGTCTGTGTGTCTGTGTGTGTGTGTGTGTGTGTGTGTGTGCATTTTCTTTCTAGGCTACTTGGTTTACAAGGACATCTTACTGCTGACTCGTGTTCTATCAAATCCCAAACCTTTTGTGAAGACCATACAGTATGAACTCACAAGGGGCAGGTAAAAATTGGACGGAGGTAAATTGCAGCAACATGGCAGGTGATTTCTATCCAAATGACATCTCACCTGGTCCACTACTAACTTCACGTTTCAATACTAATTGCCATAATATTGCATTCAAAACTAGATTGCACATTAAACACAGTCAACACAGTTTGTTTTGGTCCAAACTTGCAGCATTTTACTAGCGTACTGGAATTTAAAAAACTATTTTTGGCAAGTATGTACATGCTTATATGAGTAGGGATGCAATCTTCTATCTTTTTCTATGCTTCTTTAATTTTATTCATTTACTATTGGATTTTTAGAAGAAATTCAAATGATGTAACACATTGAACTTATTGTATTCAAACACATGGTTTTTGCTGTGTTTCGGTTCCATCACCTAGATAATAACAAATATAACAAAAGATAGCAAACACAACCTTAGCATGGTCCAACTATATCAATATATACAAAAAACGCTGCAGACTTAATGTTAATCTTACTAAAGCAAAAGTAATCCTTCATGCCAACATAAATATCCTTTCTCAAATATGATTATGTCTTTACGTGGGTCTTGCCATGCATTTGCTCCTGCATACTCGTCTTAATTTTTTGCATGAATGCACTTCACATGTACTTGAAATGTTGGCATGAGTTGTCAGCGTTGTGTGTGAGACAGACAGAGACAGACAGTCCTCCGTGAACCTTGGATAACTCCAGCAGCACAAAGACTGGGTGCTGTTAGAAGTGAGGGGTGACGTGCCCCGAGGGCTGACACACACACACACACACACACACATAGACACATAGACACACACACACACCAAATGTTGGGTCCGGAGAGAGAAAGCTCTGATGAGGCCAATAAAACACTCAGCTAGACTAAGGGGAGGAGGACGCCGAGTAAAGCTGGTAATGTCTAACTAGAGGGAGGGCAATGAGTGTGTTTAGCAGGCGAGTGTGTGTGTGTGTGTGTGTGTGTGTGTGTGTGTGTGTGTGTGTGTGTGTGTGTGTGTGTGTGTGTGTGTGTGTGTGTGTGTGTGTGTGTGTGTGTGTGTGTGTGTGTGTGTGTGTGTGTGTGTGTGTGTGTGTGTGTGTGTGTGTGTGTGTGTGTGTTTATGGGGAGTTCACACAGGGGCCTGGTGGAGTCAGAAGAATGGAGTCTCTTCCCCTGGGGGGCCAAACGAAAGGGGGTTCAGAGCCAGGGCGGGGACACAAAGGGCACAAAAACACACACAGGGCAGAGGAGGTTTGGGCGATATAAACTTATGTGATGTGCAATTGTAGAAATGCACAAATATTTAAATCGCAAGAAGCACAACGTTTTTTCAAGGCTAACTATGTGTAAAAAATGTATTTTAATTAAGTATTGTGGAGGTGCGGAAGTATCTCTGCCTACGAATTACTTTCTACAGACTTAACAATTGATTGGTAACGATCGTTCAACTTAGCCTGGCGTTTCTCACATATTTGCAGGCAGTGGTGGAACGTAACTAAATACAATCACTGAAATACTGAACTTAAAGTACAAGTCTGAGATACTTGTACTTGAGATTTCTATTTTGTGCAGGTTCATACTTCCCTTCCACTAAATCTCAGTTACTGTGTCGTTATATATTTCAATCTGTAAGCTTTTCTTGTGGCCTTAATCCTCTGTTTTGAATTGATTTGACTGGTTTAAGATTTGTTTTTAAGTGTTGTCTCATTTGAGGCAAATCAAATAATAAAATAATCTGATGTGATGAAGTACTAACCCTTACTTCATACAATTTCTATATATAATTTACAAAACCATTACAGTCTCATGATATATACCATTTCCCGGTTAAAATGTTTTTGGCCGTATTGCTTCCCCATAACTGGAATAGAGCTGGGCGATGTGGAGGACATCAAATATCATAAACATTTCTAACCAAATACCACGATAGTGACGATATTGCAATCTAGAGATTTTTGAGAAATCAATACATAAGTGCTGTGGCTATAAGGATAATGTGGGTAAAAGCAAACTATAAAACGGCTTAAACTGCTTGGTATGTTCAGAAAGTCTATCACTGTACAGTGTAATGCATCTTGTAAAACCAAAGACACATTTGCGATATTAGAAATCTAAGATACTATCCAATATCAATATGGTATCAATATATCCAACACGCCGCATTTGACGCATTTACAGGGTCTTGTATCGTAATGTGCCGGATTCGGTCAGAGTAAACATCTGATGAGATCATGGACGTTTTTTTTTTCCTCTAACGTCCTCATGTGTGGCCTCTCATCGTGTCAAGGGGCTTGGACCCTGTGCCCCCCCCCCCCCCCCCCCCCTCAGGCCGGAGGATATGAACATGGTGTCAGAGACAGGTCAGTGGAGGGGAGGAGGATGAAAGGAGGTTGAGAGGTGAAGAGACGGAGATGAAGAGCAGAAGAGAGAAGAGAGGTGGCTTTGTGGAGCATCAGACTGAGGGAGAAGGAGAAGAAGAAGAAGGAGAAGAAGACAGAAAAGAAGAAGAAATGGAAGACGAAGGAGAAGAAGATTTGTTTTAACTATATACACACACCCTGCAAAAGAGTTGGAAAAACCCTAATACATTACAATTCCAAATAAATAAATAACCAGATTTTCATGAGACTACACCTATCCTTTAAAACATCAATAATAGAGCGTCATTCTGCCCCAGTGAGCACAGAACCTGCCCAACAGCCCACACATCCAGAACCCCCTGCAGATGGTTGATCAGCGTGTAGTACGCATGCTCCACCCTCAGACGCGCTGCCACCAGCCCCCTCAGACAGAGCACTGCATCCGTCCATCCCACTCCAGCAAGTTGTTTTTTTCCGACTTTTCCAGATCGCTAATTACGCATTAGCAAACAAGAAATGTATCAGTACTAGAGTTTCTCTCTTTTTCAGGGTGTATTTGGGGCCATGGACAACAAGTGGTATGGAGAAAACCGCCCCCAAGAAGAAATATCCCAAAAAGATTAAGGATACGAAAAAGAGGAATATGAATATGAAGAAACCACAGAGACAAAGAAGAGAATGGAGAAGAAAAACATGAAGAATATAAAGAGAAATATCAAAAGAATACAAATAGTACGAAGAAGCGTACGTGGCGCTGTAAAGGCAGCTCATTGTGGAATAGCCTCCCAACTGAGATACGGGATTGTCCTACTCTCAATAGCTTCAAAGGACAACTTAAAGGGGACCTATCATGCAAAATGCACTTTTGTACGTCTTTTCTACATGAATATGTGTCCCCGGTGTTCCAGGGAACTCACCAAGTGTCAGAAAACACAACCCTCTCTCTTTTCCTCCATACCCAAATCTCTAAAAAAGGGGCTGCAACGGATCTGATAAAAACTGATCCAGATTTGAACACTGTCCTGACGTCAGGACGGTGGCGCTACGGCTATTGGGCCAACTCCACCAATCAGGAGGAGACAGCCACGGCCATTGCCGTTCGAAAGCGCTGGAGACGCTGTAGTACATATGCCAGGCCTGTAGATGGTGCTGTTCTCACTGAATCTGCCCTTGCAGAGCAGAGCTAAAGAAAAGTGCAAATTGAGCGAAATGAGGCATGGCTAAAATGCATGATCTGTTTGGTATTTTGAAAAAAGAAAAGTATAAATATGCCTTATATAGGTATGGTCCTACACTATATTATTCAAATATAGCATGATAGGTCCACTTTAAAGAATGGTTGAGAAACAAACAGACGTGCAATCACCGCTAAATGCACTTTAACACAGGGGTCTCTCCTCTCGCACTTTAGGTAGCACTTTTATCTCCTCCTGCACTTTATATGTCGTAGCTGCTACATTGTGCTGCCATGTGGTAAATGCTTGTGTATGCTGCTCATGCTCTTTCTGCATATCATGTATTTATTTTTGCTATGTATATAAATGTCATGTTCTTATATGTTGTATGTGACGGGACTACGGATGGAAATGAGCTCAAAGCTAAAATCCGGCTTATTTACATTTGTAAGCATTGTTTTGTTTTAAAGTGTTCATCAATGTGCACTGTCCCGGTTCAAATAAACGATTAAATGAAAAGCACGACCTGCCTCGGCCCGGGTCAGATAACTGGATGGCCTACCTGCCTGTCAGCTTTCCATCTCGTGCACTAACTTATCTCGTGCCCTCATTGGTCATGTGCGCGTTCGTGTGTGTTGGAGGAGGGGCTCTGTAAGGAAGTCTGAAGGAAGTGGCAGATTTTTTTTTGGCTGCGTACTTTCAAATTCTAACGCACTCGAGCTGGTTTCTCCATTCTTACCTACCCTACCTTTAAGAAGAAGAATGTAAAGAGTATGAAACAAAGAGGATAAAAAAAGACACATTTACGTGACTTACGGTCCACATGTTGACGAGGCGTCGGCACAGGAAGGGGTCGAGGCTCCAGTGGATGAAGGGCAGGCAGGTGATGTAGAAGACTTCATGACCCAGAGCGGCAGACACCAGGAAGAGGACGTGCAGAAACCGGTTCCTCACCTCGAACTGAGGAGAGAGGAAACACAAAGATACCTTCAGACCATCTCCGGCATAATTATCTGTTCACAACACTTTGCTGCTGCTGCTGTTTTTTTTATTTTCTATAAATAAAATGACATGTTTGCACAACTCACTGCATTGTGACACTGTTTCGGCCCATCTGTGGGAATTCTGTGTTGAACAAGAAAATGTATACAAATATTTAGAAAGGAAAAAGACTCCTTCATACCAGGGGCCTCGTCACAGAGAAATACCAAATAAGCTATTATATCAGAAGCTATTAATAATGGACAAAAAACAGACAGGGGTTTAATTTAGTCTGCAACAAATGAAAAATAGCTACTTGTGTTGTTGAAGGAGAGGAAACCCCACTCTGAATTGGCTTATTATCTATGTATTATTTATTGTCATCAGAAGATTCAAGATTCAAGGCTTTATTGTCATGTGCACATTAGCTACAGTGTAGATATGGCAATGAAAAACGTAAGTCCCTCCAACTATGCAACATGAATATATATATAGGGACATAGAACAAATAAAACAAATGCAAAAGTGTAGCCTTTTTAATTGTTAAAGGTCCCATGTCATGGCCATTTCTACTGATCATATTTCCATTGTTGAGGTCTACTAGAATAGATTTACATTGTTCAATGTTCCAAACTCACATTGGTTTCTCATACAGCATCTCTGTATAGTATGTGTATTCACTCTCTGTCCTAAACGGCTTGTTGGAGCTCCTGCCCCCCCCCCCTCGTTGCTGCAAGGAGCGGACAGGTTTCCGGGTCGGCGATACAGAGAGACACAGCGAAACTCATCCTGAGCACACACAAACACTCACAGCCGAAGTAAAAACAATAAGTGTGGCTTGATATTGAGTAAGAAAAAGGTTTATAACGCTGTGAGAATGGGTCTGCGGAGAGCATTTCTCCGCCATCCCAACTCGTCTATTACCAGCGTTCAGGGAGCTCTATGCAAGTCAATGGGACTCCCTGTTAGTTAGCCAAGGGATCCTGGTGTGTGAGGTGCTCCGCGGATTGGTCCATTTGGGCCAATCCGGTCATTTGTTGTTGATCTGGGTGTTCACACGTCACAGAACCCAGGAAGCAAACAATGGAAAATTTGAAATCTCCAACGAGGCGTTCTGGGGCAGCATAGACAGGTCTTTTCTGTGTCAGAGTTTTACTCGCTACAGGGTGTACTTTGAGGGTTTGTGGCTCTGCAGACCGTTTACATGCAGAAAAACCTTCATAACACACAAGGGGACGGGTAATAACCGGAAAAGCATGACATGGGACCTTTAAACTGTATTTTGGTGCTCATGTTGCTGCCCTATCTTTATTTTCAAGGAACGGTTTCAGATTAAATCTACATATCAACAAGCAGCAGCCACACCCTGTGTCGGTTCAAATCACCTGTTTCACATCCTCTCTACATAACTTCATCTATCATACAGCCAGCATGACAATATGTCTTGAATTTATCTTTTTGATTAATTAAAGAAGGGCACAATATATGCTTATTGCACGTCACACTACACTGAAAGCATACTTTATCATGTTGTCTCTCTTACCACATCACATGTTATTATATACTTATAACTCTTAAGTCATACAGGTAAAAAAACAGCCAGTAGCCTTTCTGTTATATATCTAAAGTTTCCAAGCCCAACCCGAGATAACCCCGGTCAATATATCACATAATGTCAGGGTTCACACACACATTATACATTAACTGTTTTTACAGGTGAAGTACTTATGATAATTGAAAGGTGGCTACCCTTGAATAGTTTTATATTACGACTCATTCTTCTATAAAAATGTCTCAGTTCCTACATTTGCTTTATGGCCCTATAATATAAGACTGAAGCTACATAGGCATTTTAAGAACCAATCACTGCTGTTTTTAGATTAATTCAACTATTTATATGCCGAGCTCCACCCTGAAGGAGCTCCGTTTACTGCACATTATCAAGAAATCTTATAAACCTGTAAGTAGCTTGACCTTGTTTAATCTTCATCCTGGTAATAATCCTGAATAAACACTTTGCGTAAGAACAGAGAGACGGAAGAATGTAAACTTCCCACGCGGTTTTATCTTTGTTTAGATAGATCTGGTGACAGAAACACCCGGACGAACGAGAAAATCCAGTCGCACTTTGCTTTGCATTCTCATTGTAATAAGGTAGCCTAGGGAACTACTCTAGTTCCTGCACCTGTAGCATGTCTACTCTCAGTTCCTAGATTTCAAGAACCGACATGTAGCCTACTTAAATATGATATTTACACTAGAAACATGTTGCCTGTTACTCTAACTTCCTATATTTCAAGAATGTACCTAGTCATTTGAATACGTCCTCTAGTACACCTGTTTACCTCTAACTTGCTAGATTTCAAGACTTGACATTACTATTTAAATATGATATTTATTCTAAAAAACCTGTTGCCTGTTACTCTAACTTCCTACATTAAGAAAATATATACATAGTCTTGTTAATACTTTATCTACAATAGTAGGCTACACATGTTGCACCTCTTACCTTCTAGATTTCAAGATTTGATATGCTCCTTTTAACATGTTATTAGCAGTATAGTACACCTGGAGTGTCAATATTACCTCCTTAATTAAAAAAAAAAAATGCAAACCAGGCTCTTTAATATGCTAAACTTGTTTTTTTAGTGCCACACGTTTTAGGAAATGTTTCCTTACATGATGTTTGGTTTCTATTTTGAATATGAAAAATGCGTTTTTACTCAGACTCACATTAACAGCACATCCATTCTGTTGGATTTCATAGTTTGAATTCTTATCCTGGTGGTCCCATCTTCCGTTCCGCTGTGCACGTGGTTCGTCCGCGTGCTCTTTTTTCCTCTGTGGACCGTGATGCGGGTCCCGGACCAGAAAGAGTCCGCATCGCCTCTGGAACCGGGCCACCAGCTCCGGCTCGTGCAGGTAAGAGAGCAGCTCGCGCATATCCGAGGGGAGATAATGAGGTGTGTGTGTGTGTGTGTGTGTGTTGTGTGTTTGCTGAGCCGGAGAGGTGAGGTGTGTGTGTGGGCAGGTGCGGCTGCAGGTGTGTGTGAAGGGGGCGGGGTTACGTGAATGGGCGGGGCCTCCGCGACAGGAAGTAGTCCATTGGTCCGACCTTTAGACCCTTAAACTGGGATGGTTTCAGGTGTTATCACTCAGTATGTACATTGTGTATCTTAACATTGATGAGAAGTGTATTAAAGTGTAAGAAGAGGAAGTAGAACTAGGCTGGTGTGGGATTCAAATACATTGTTTACCATGAGATATGATATGGAAATATACATTAATTACCTATAAGTGCAATGTTTTTTGATTTGTTTTCATTGAGGAATTGTATTTATTTCACAAAAAGTGAACTTTGAACAAGATCACTTAGCTCTGACTGATTTTAAAAGTTAACACACAAAATAAAAAGTGAACACCTCTTTCCTCCTTTTCCTTTTCATCTCAACAATATGTTCCTATTATTGTGGCCATCCCATATAGTTTGAGCATACACACAGAGAGCTTTCTGAGGTCAAATAGACTGCAAACTGCTTGTCTTGTGTGATAAGGCAGCAATAGTTTTAAGAGTGAAGCATTATCAACTTTATCAACACGACCAAGCTTCAAAACAACAACAACGACGAGATCCACTAATTGTTTGCTGATTTCTAGATGAATCTCAAAACAACATTATTGAAAAGATGACGATAGGTCTCTTGGGACACTTTGCAGGCCATAAAGCTGTTGTAGTGTACAGATGCCAACAAAATAAAATACCTCCTAGCACTTGTAATCGTGCAATGTTTTGATTTAAAGCTCCCATGTCATGCTTTTCCGGTTATTCCCCGTCCCCTTGTGTGTTATGAAGGTTTTTATGCATGTAAACGGTGTGCAGAGTCAAAACCCTCAAAGTACACCCTGTAGCGAGTAAAACTCTAACACAGAAAATACCTCCCCAAAACGCCTCGTTGGAGATACATCACTGCCCATTTGAGTCTTCCATTTAGTTCCGGGTACGGCATGATGTCATGCCGTACCCGGAACGAAATGGACCAATCCCGAAGAGCTATGGCCACACCCAGCGGCGCTGGCCGCACCCTCTGCCTCTACAATGAATGTAGCAGACTACCCATATAAGATTGCAATTGTAAACATGTGCTTGATAGCCTAATATGAACCACTATCTGTTGTTCATAGTATAGTATAGCATATTGAACAACTGAACAACTAGCAAACGTAGATTAGCATTGTAATCCAGCTGGCAAGCTGACGAACATCAAACAACTACGTTTATTTCACACTTCTAGCAGAGACAACGGGGAAATCCCCTCTCTTTGCCCGCTCACAGACCCCCAAAGGACTGTACATTACAGTTAGCTTTCCTCCGACGCTGATAGCATGTATAGCTAACGAGGCTAGCTATACATGCTAGCGGGAAACATTGTATGACCGAACGTAGCAGACTACCCGTATAAGATTGCAATTATAAACACGTTATTGCTAGCCTAATATGAACCACTAGCTTTTGTTCATAGTAGTTTTATTACACTCCATTATAGTTGCCGTTCCTCCGAGCTAACGTTCATATCGTGTTTGCTATCAAGGTAAACAAGAAAGCTAGGTTAGCATATTAGCTGGCAAGCTTACTGTGTTGATTATATAGAAACATTGTAAGACCGAACGTAGCAGACTACCCGTATAAGATTGCAATTATAAACACGTTATTGCTAGCCTAATATGAACCACTAGCTTTTGTTCATAGTAGTTTTATTACTCTACATTATAGTTGCCGTTCCTCCGAAGCTACCGTTCATATCGCGTTAGCTACCAAAGTAAACAAAGCTAGGTTAGCATATTAGCTGGCAAGCTTACTCCACACTCCTACCACAACTACTACTAACGAATCTAAAACAACTAAGTTTCTCTAATATTTTGTGATTTGCATTTGATTTCGTCCAGCCAGATCCTGCCGGACAATACATGACGGGACTACCACACTGATGCATCGTCCTAAAAAGCCCCGGCTGCGAAAGGCAAGATGCCGACAACGGGGAGGAATTGATGATATACCGTGTATATATGTATATTTATGTTCATTTTGTACATTTCTAAAAATAAAGTTGAATGGAAATACTTAGTAGGCCTATCCTTTCTTCCCTGAATTATTTGCTCCTATAACATATCATTCATATATAGCAAACCATGTTTTGATTTCTCATCAAACAGTAGTAGTTTATTACAGGTAAAAATAACGAGTTCTTTGTTATGACCGGCTCGTAGGCCACAACGGAAAGACAAGGAGACATACACGAGTTTACAAAACCACGGCACATTTATTGTGGTAAATGCAGAGATAGGTGGTCGAGGGGAGAGGATCGCCGAGTTCGTCCTTCTGCAGCCGCTTTGGAGAGAGACAGGGGCCGCCGTGTGACTCCGGGCAGCTGGGCTTAATAGCACCTCGGCTCCGGCCAGGTGTCCGTGATCGCACTGATTAGCCTCTTCAGCTCCACCCCATCGTAAGACCTGCAACACACCTGCACAAAGGCCCTGGGGCCGTCACACTCTTCTATAACAACAGTTGTAGGTACAGTTCAGTTAGTTAGCGTATAAAATATACGGCTGTACCGACGCCATTATAAGACTGATGTTCTGAGAGCGAGCCGAAAAAAGCACTGTTAGACATGGGCGGAGCCTCTCTGGTGGTTGACTAATCAGAACAGAGTGGCCGAGCTGACCAATCGGAGCACACTAGGCTCACAGGGAGGGGGGGGCAAGAGCTCCAACGAGTCGTTTAGTGGAGAGAGTGAATACTGCTGAATACACATACTTTACAGAGATGCTGTATGCGAAACCAATGTGAGTTTGGAAAATTGCACAGTGTAAATCTATTTTAGTATACCTCAACAATGTAATTATGATCAGTGGAAATGGCCATGACATGGGCCCTTTAACAAAAAACTCTGTCAGGCAGTGAAATCCTGACTTTTTTTATTCATTTCTTTAACCCTAAACTCTGCAAATTCAGTATAAAATAATGTAATGTCAGTGTCAAATGGATGATGCTGTTAACCTTTAAAGGTAACTCGATGTTGTGTCTCGTCAAATGTGTTAGTTATGTTTATGTATTTTGTCTGTCATTTCCTGTTTTATTTTGTATTTACCTCGTCTTTCATTTCAGGCCCTGTTTCTTCCTCCCCCTGTGTGTTTTTCCCGCCATCATCAGTGTCTGCCCCGCCTCTGATTGTTTCCACCTGTTCCCACTCACCTCATGTTTAAATGAATATTCCTGAAGTCAAAATTGTTAAAATGTACAGACCTGGTAGAATTCTAAACGGCACAAATCATGTTTAAGGCAAATAATAACGTTTTACCAGGAAACATCCAAAAAGTATTCACTCAACGAGTGGGGGGATATAGTTCAAGGAGACAATTTCAATCGAAATTCATAGGGTCCGCACAACCAGAATAACTTTTTGTATCTCAGCCTGTGGAGTGAGACGATGGAACAGTGTGAACGTGGAGCTAAAGCCATGTCCAGACATTCACCAGTTCAAGAGGAAACACAGAGAAATTATTTTCTCGAGGTACAGGGATGGGGAAGGTGTTTGACTATGTGTATGTGTATATGTGTAGTGAGTATGTAGGTGTGTATATGTATATGTGCATATATGTATATATGTGTATGTGTGTGTATGTATGTGTGTATGTACATATGTGTATATGTATATATGTCAATCAACAGGTAAAGCAGATTAATAATAATAATAATAACAATAATAATTAATAATAATGATAATTATTGCAGGTTATAGATTATAAATAAATCATTTAGGGACAAGGGGGGGAGATTAAATAAATTATACTTCTTCTCACTCCTTTTCGAACACTAGATGTGGGACTGTTTATGTTGCTAATGCTGTTGTTGTTGTTGTTGTTGTAAATGTCATTTTTTGTTTTGATTTCTCTTACATGACTATGCACTGCAACATTTGTTTTGTTTTGTAATTATTTATTTTACTGGATCGAAATTTAATTTATGAATCAATCAAAATAGTCCTGTCTCTCCCCTGTCCTGTGTCAGTTCGTCTTGTGTGTTTCCCCGAATGGTCGTGCCAAGCCTCAGCTCAGAAAGGATTGCTTTCTCTCATGTCAGGGTTTGTTTATTTTGTTAGGCTTAAGTTTTTATTAAGTCCTCTTTTTGTTACGCTAGTTTTTTCCTCCTTGTGAGCGCCTTTTGTTATTTCCACCACCTACTCTGTTAAGAGGGATTACCTGAACTGTATATATATAATAATAAATATAAAATTTTTTATATTCAAGACTTTGTCTCTGGGTCGTGCATTTGGGTTCATCCGTTTGTGTCGAGGTCCTGACACTCGAACTGTAAAATGCCAGACTGGTATATCATCTTGAGGTAAACTGTCTTGGGACCTTTGACCTGTTTTAAAGATGTCATATCAGGACTGATGTGTTCTCACACTGATGTAAACTATAAAGGAGTAAAACTTTCACTAAGAATTTATCGCCATCCACTTCAGAGGGTTTCAGTTTGAAGCACAGTGCAGCATATGATCGCATTAAGATTTAACCCCGGGCTTTGACATCATTCCAGCTCCATCAATGGCCTTTCTGTGCTTTTCCTGCCATAAAACACATCACTTTGAACAGTCCATGTGCAGTACTTTTGTAGAAATACTCTGTTATCCTGCAGTCAAAAGCTCACTTATTCAAAAACATGTAATTAGCATAAACGTATACAAATCTGAAGGTTCTTATTCTGCACAACGGCGCACTTTAGATTAATATTGTTATGTTATTTAATTATAATTATTGATGTATTCATGTGTTCATCACTCTTTTGTTGAATCTGTCGAAGGTGGACATTTTCAGTTTCAATATTTTTACTAGACAGAGTTGTATTCCAGCAAGGGATCAATCAGAATCAGGTTTATTGCCAAGTAGGTCGACACATACGAGGAATTTGTCTTGGTGTTTTTGGTGCACACATAAAAATACATACATAAAAATAAAGCAATGATTAAAAAAGTGTAAAAACTGAATCAAGTATGTGAACATAACCAACAACCCACCCACCATAGCCAATAACAAATAAATGGAACTTATTTTATTTTTGTTGTTCATTCATATCTTATTTTACCAGTTAACATTTATTTATTTATGCATATTTTTGTATCTCTCCAACTTTAAACGATATTTTTGGTTACTGTCCTATAGTATACATTGAAATGATTTCAAACCTGTTTATCCCAATAATTATAAAGGAGTGCCTTGGAAATAGTTGTTTACATAAAATGTGATCAAAACGTTTGAGAGCCACTGAGATAACTTAGACTAAAGTGAACTATCTAAACACTCAAGAGTCCTTTACCTCACTGAGCCTATCAGTCTGACAAGAGAGCTCTCCTCCACCCTGGTTGTAGAAACATCTTCTTCTTATATCCGTTAGAGCAGCTAGCACCAGATGCTAATAACAACAGCGCCGGTACCGGTGCGCCCTCTCTCTCTCCCTCGCTCGCTCCCACGCTCACTCGCACTTTGGCTGTGAGCTGCGGGCGCCTGATAATTTTTTTAATTTTTTTCTTGATTTTATTTTTGATTTTATAAATCTGTGTGAATCTTTGCTGTCCTGTTTTTCACGCTTACCCTGTTGCTGCTTGTACAACTGAATTTCCCCACGGGATTAATAAAGGTCCATCTTATCTTATCTTATCTTATCAGCCAACATCCCCCCCTTTCATCACTTAGCGCCCATCGTACAGGGCAAATGAAAAGTGTAACCGGGGTGAAAAGGGTGTTAAATTTACTTCATTATGAATGTTGTTACATCAAGGCCGGAAATTAGGATGAGCAACAACAGTCAAAACTATGTTTTCCCTCCCAGAGCTACCAGCGCAGCGCCCCCCCAGAACTGGCGCCCTAGGCGACTGCCTATGTCGCCGATGCCAAAAACCGGCCCTGATCTTCAAAGTTACTTCATTTATCCAATAAATGTAGAAAAGTAAAAGTGCAAAATTGAAGGTATAGCAGAAACAGGTTTGACTACCTGAAACTTGAACTTACCTGGCATTAATAAATGTTCTTAGTATTTAGTTAACTTGTATATATTAAGAAAAGGCTGTTGCTGTTTTGTATAGTACAAATGACAACAGGTTCTGCATAATGAAATATTTTTGGATTTTCTCCATCCACTCGACGTGATCCTGCGATGATTTATGAATAAATGTTTAACTTCTTTTATCAAGGCGAGGCATATTAATATGACACACTTTAACAACAAGGCAATCCAACGTGCTGTACAACAAAATATTAAAAGCGTCAAGACAAGCACATAATAGAATGACATTTAAAATAATCATCAAAGAGCCAAATGACGCTCTTTTCATAATGATTCAGTCCCATGAGACTCCTCTGATGTAACACATGTCTCACTGTGTGGGTTCAGATGCTCTCTAACAGGAAGCAGAGAATTAGGAAACAGTGACCAAATGAGTGCGTCTGGATGTTTCTGACGTGATTACAACCAGTGATGGGAAGTCATTATTAAAATGATGTACACATTAATGGATCACTGATAACAACCCAGTGATGTTATACTTATTTTTCCGAAGATGATGCATAATGAGTGATTTTGGTGCTTTAAGTTTATTTTAATGCATACTTTGGTACTTTGTCTTTAGATTGTAAGAGAGTATTTCTATATGTCTGCAGTACATACTAAAATGTTATATGAGAACTTATAGGCTGCTAAACAGAGCACTGAAAGCAACAACAACAACAACAACAACAACCCATTAAAGGGACTCCCCCCCTTCCTCTGTATGGATGAGGAGTCACCACCATTACATCATCCATTATCCCCCCCCCCCCACACACACACACACACACACACGCACTGCCGATCATTATATGACCGCTTTTTATTTTAAAACCGCTTATCTAAGCAGCAGCCTGTTCATAAAGCATCAATATGAGTGAGTGTGTGTGTGTGTGTGTGTGTGTGTGTGTGTGTGTGTGTGTGTGTGTGTGTGTGTGTGTGTGTGTGTGTGTGTGTGAGGGGGGGAGTGGGTGATAATAACAACACTGTCCGCGGGGATGATGGCGTTTCAATGAGAGGAGGAGGGGAGGGGTGGGGGCCGCGGGAGGAGAGACGTGCACCGTCATCAGCATCTGTCCGCGAGCTCCCTTTGTGTTCACCGGAGAGCGCGTGCATGGCGAAAGATGACATGGCAGAGGTAGATGTGGCTCCTCGCGCCGCGGCGGAGCCCCCCTCGTGCGCCGCCGCCTTCCCCTACGAGGAGTACGAGTGTAAAATCTGCTACAATTACTTCGACCTTGACCGCCGCGCTCCTAAAATCCTCGAGTGCCTGCACACCTTCTGCGAGGAGTGCCTGAACACGCTCCATCTGCGCGAGGAGCGGCCATGGCGCATCAGCTGCCCCGTGTGTCGCCACCGGACCCCCGTTCCGGATTACCGGATACAAAACCTGCCCAACAACACCAAGGTGACGGAGGACTTCCCGCTGTACATGGACTCGGACCCTCTGCCTCAGGACGCGCTGCCTCCCTTCCCCCCTCCGCTTCACCCGGCTCTCCTCGCGCTCCGCCGGGAGGAGGGCACGTACAGCAGCGTCAGCCAGGCGACCCCGTCCACCACCGGCACCGTGTCCACCGCCACCACCCTCTCGCAGGACTCGGTGCGCTACGACAGCTGTCAGAGCTGCAAGAGGGTGGCGCTGACCACCGGCTGCGTGTGCGTCATCTTCTCCTTCCTGTCCATGCTCGTGCTGCTGTTCATGGGCCTGATCTTCGTGCACAGCCACAGCACCCCCCCCCTCGCCCGCGGGACCCATCTGCCTTTCGGTCGCGAGCATCCTGGCCATGTTCTCGGTGGTCGTGACATGGCTCATCTGCTGGCTCAAATACAGACCGGACCACGAGACGGGCCGCTCCTCCGCCACCAGCAACTCGCGCAGAAACGCCTGACGGCGGGCTGAGGCTCCCTCTACTTTTTATATAGGAGTAAATATCGTCCAAAATGGCCTTTTAATCAGTATTGCAAACACCGTGTTGTGTGGCCGACATGATGACCCCTCGATACTCTCTTTTCCTGAAGTGGTGGATTGACAGTGAACGCTCCTGTGGTTGCTTTGATGACTGAATGTGAATTTATTTCCAGGGTTTCCCTCCTCCCCCTTCCCACTATCCTGCTTTATTATATGCATATCCCACAATGCCACTCACTGTATGATAAACTGTCCACTCTCATAGCTCAACAAAGCACTGTTGTGTTGTACAGATGTTTGTTCACTTCTGACTTTCCAGGGGGTGGAGTTTGTTTTTTTATGGAGGCTTGTATGTTTATGTGAGAAGCCTCCAAAGAGTTATTGGGTTACAAAAGAAATGTAAATAGTCCGGATCAGCCTTTTCTTGGAGACCTTTCTAAATGTGCACAGGCGTCATTTCTGCTGGGGACATGTCCCTACGACTTTTTAAAAGTTTAATTTAAATATGTTTTGAGAAATAGCGTGCACAAAGAAATGTAACACAGAACTCTGTGTCCGCTCACACTGTCGGGTTATGAGAACCCAAATTATGCAATTTGGACATGTGACTAATTTAAGTAAACTTTGAATAGAAAATAGGGAATCAAACATCCCACTTTGTAGAAGCAGGGCACAGGCAATGCACTAGTTGAAGACAAATAAGTAAAGAACGCTAAAAGAGCATACTGATTCTAAAATGACCTCAACACTTCCATGCATCGATAAGAAACTTTAACAAGACGTTTCCAAATGTCCATTTTACATCTCTCCCTGCTTTGCTCTTCAATGTCACGTTTGTCGGGTATGTGACATTGAAGAGCAAAGCAGTCTTCAGACGTCATAAGGTGTTTCTAACAAATACTGTAAGCATTCATTACTGAATACCCTGTTTTTTTTTAATCTGAAAGAAGTGTCCACAGCACTTTTCAAAACAAAGTGTCGCCCATGTGCTCCAGCTGTTCCCGCAGGATGTTTTCTTTGAACACTGCACATATTCCAGGTTTTTCAAAGCTTGTGTTTTTGACCTTGCGTTTGGAAACGTTAGTGCATGATTGGCTTCTGAAAGGCACTTTTGTAAACATAATTGACGTTATGTCTCATTGTGCCTCACCTTGTTGCTAAATGAAGTAAACCTTCACCCCCCCCCCCCCCCCCCCCCCCAGTTGACCAAATCAGTGCATCCAGATGTTTTGGGCGAACAGTGTTGAGAAAAAACGACTCAATTACTTTACTGAAGTATAGGTACTTTTACTTTACTGGAGCATTTCCCTTTCATGCTACTTGTCCTCCACAACAATTTGGAAAAAAACATTGTACTTTTACTTATTTCATTTTCTTCACAAGTACATTTTCAGGTTATTGATGTAATTGGATTACAACGAAACAGTAAATAGTCCACAGAGAAGTGGTGAGTGCTTCTGGTTCATCTTTTTCAGTGAGACCTCTCTAAAGCTCATGCAGGATGTTTTCTCTGAACACTGCACACATACGGTGTTTAAAGCTTGTGATTTTGACCCTGTTATGTGTCATTGTGCCTCACCTTGTTGCTAAATTAAGTACACCTTCACTTTAATCATGATAGAAACCCATGCACCGGCCACAGGGATTTCCTCTTTCTGTCACTTAAACAACGGAAGATTCAAAACAGGGTTTCCGACATAGAGCTGCCTCCCAAAACTGGCACCTTTTACACTTAAAAACATGCGTGTTTGCATCTGAAATTATCAGAATACCTTGGTCTACTTGATAAACAGGGATAGTATAAAATCCAACTTCAGTTTTTTTGGCTGAGGCAGCTGCTGAACAGTCCCATGAGTCACTGGTGTCACTCTGTTTCCTCTGGGATTTTCAGGAGTCATAATTACCTTTGGAAACATGAGCTTTGTTGCTAAAATTAGAAAAAAGGCATATGAGAAGAGTTGTGTTATTTCAGTATCTGCGATAACACACTGCACAGATCTAATTCCCCTTCAAATCTTTACACTTTAAATGTTTTTCCCCTGCAGAAGGACAATGTATCTGAAAGGGAAATCTGCTCCTTATCACACAGTGTTTTGCAAGAAGAGGCCCCTAAAGTGGGCTTCTTGAGTATTATGAATATTACTGTGAAGCGTTGGTAAATGTAATCGTTGCGACCTATACAATTATTAATTTATTATTCTTCAATATGGCTGCAGGTGATACCCTACTTGTGTTGTAGTGAAACACCTTGACAGCCATGGAGCACTTGTTGCACTCCTGTGTCATTGTATGACTCCCCAAACTTCCTTTTTAGTGTTTAATATCAAGTTTTAAGATGCTTTTGACACCATAGTGGTTTTGCACGTGTTGCCCTTTCACACTGATGGTACCCCCACCTCACTGCATGGGGAATAAACAAAAACAATTCAATATATCTCCTAACCCCCCCTCAATCGGCTTCAATCATCCTGCTCAACCCTTCCCTATCTTTAAGACGATGCACTTTCACCCTCTTATTTGACACAAGTAATGGGGTGTTAAACTTTTGTTAAATGTAAGCATATTTATTTCAGAGGACCTAGAAATTGTTGTTGGTTTTTATGAGACTCTGTGGTTGTTGTTGAAACGTATTTGCACAGAGAAATGTTCCTTATGTGCTGTTTGACATACATAAACACATTTCAGTAATAAAGGAAACATTAATATCCTTTGCTTTGATAGTTTTGTTGCAGAGCAGTGGGCTGTGTTTTCAATCAATCAGCCAACTAATCAACCAATCAATCAATCAACCAAACAATTGACTGCCAGACTAACCGGACGGACCGATTGACCAACAAAATGATTAATCAGCCAACCGACCAATTAATCAACCAACCAATCAATCAATCAATAGAATGACTGAGCGAACAACCAACCAACTGATTAATCAACCAACCGACCAATTAACCAACCAACAGACCGATCAACCAACCAATCAATCAATCAATAGAATGAATGACTGACTGACCGACCAACCGACCAGTCAACCAACTGACCAATTAACCAACCAACCAACCAATCAATCAATCGAATGACTGACTGACCGACCGATCAACCGACCAATCAATCAATCAACGAATGACTGACTGACCGACCGATTAACCGACCAATCAATCAATCAACCAAATGACTGCCTGACCGACCAACCAATCAACCAAACAATCAAACAACCAACCCACCAACCAATCAATCAATCGAATGACCGACTTACCGACCAACCAACCTAATGACCAATTAAACAACCAACCGACATGTTAACAAATCAACCAAACAACCAAACAACCAAACAACCAAACAACCAATCAATCAATCAATCAATCAATCTTTATTTTTATAGCACTTTTCATGCACAAAAAGTCACACTAAATGCGTCACAAACCAGAAGTAATATCACAAATGACAAAGAAAACCAACCCCTCGCCAGTTCAAAAACAGAGCATATAACTTTGTGATTAATAAAAACACCTGAATATTGAACTTGAAATTGAATAAACACAGAACTGAATATAACAAGAATACATTTAATCCAATTAAACCTACATTGAAATGGTTTGCTGTTAATGTATTTACTCATGATTTTAATGATTTGAATAGGAATCACATTAAATATTAAAGCATTGCTTGTGTTGTTCAGTGCTTGAGGATTATCTGTTATGCATCAAATATGCCCCCTACTGGTTCTCAAATAATGCTACATGCTATAAAAACCTTTCACTGAAGTGGAAGAAGTTCTCATGTATTCTACTTTATAAAAGATACCAATACTACAGTGTAAATATACTCAGTGACAAGTACAAAAGTATTAGCATCAAAATATACTTCGAGTACCATATATACTTATAATGTAGTATGGCCAATTTCAGAATCGCATATATTACATTTTTGTGTTATAATTATCGATGCGCTAACTATATAGTATACTTTATTTACCAAAAGTACAAATAGTAAAAGTAGTAATACAATAGTTTAGAAATACTCTGTTTCTACGAAAAGTCATATGCATTGTTTTGCTTAAGTAAAAGTATGAATGTATGTAAAAAGTACAAATACTACAGTTTAAAAATACTCAGTTACAAGTTAAAGTACAACATTCAAGTCCAAAAGTATAAGCATCAAAATATACTTTAAGTACCATATGTACTTATTATGTAGTATGGCCAATTTCTGAATTGTATATATTACATTTTTGTGTTGTAATTATTGATGCGCTAACTATATAGTATCCTTTATTTACCAAAAGTACTAATAGTAAAAGTAGTAATACCATAGTTTAGAAATACTCTGTTTCTGGGAAAAGTCATATGCATTGTTTTGCTTAAGTGAAAGTATGAATGTTCCAAAACTAAAAGTACTCTTAATACACAATGGCTGTTTTTAAATGAACTTATTCCTCTACTTTAATAAACTTCAATAAACGTAAACACACTTTCCAATAACATCACACACACAGATTTCCCGCACTTTATTAATCAACCCATTCAACACGAGATATTTCCCCTCAAACAGAAGAGATCCAAACGGTTCCCTATATAACCACAGATTTATATTCGGGACACGAGGCAGGAGTCACATGCTCCATATATTAAAGCCGTCACATTATAGCTGGCTCTTTTTCATACTCTCATGTTATTCAGACAACACTAAAGCCTTTTGTATCAGAGCGTGGCTGTAATTTCAAATCAGATACAGATACACTGATTTCTGGGAAATAGTTTGAGACATTGTTTACAAATTGAGTCCAAAGTGAGATGCGTGTTTTCATGAAGTGGCCAACATCTTCTCATTAGACATTAAGCTCAGCCTCTAAGCTGTTATTGAGTGCTAGTAACACATGCATTATAGTATTTTATAGAGTACAAATAAGGCCAATTATAACCTAAGATGAATATTGGACTCCTGACCTTCTTGTTGTCCAAGGGTCAAATTGAAACCGTTCCCAAATGTATTTATGTCGGGATAAAGGTTTATTTGATGTTACTGCCAGAGAAATAACATGTTTGCTTGTATACTATGTTGTATAAGTATGATCACTTTCATCAGGTTTGGGTTTTATTCAAATGTAAGCTGTTATTTAGTGCTAGTAACACATGCATTATAGTATTTTATAGAGTACAAATAAGGCCACCTGTAACCTAAGATGAAGGTCCTTGGCTCCAATTGTTGTTTTTTTGGTTTGGCACATCTTAAACTCTCTTGTCATTTCAGATCCCGCCTTCCTCCAGGCTCTTGCAATCAGCTCACTTCCCTCACCTGGTCTCCCCAGCCCTTCCCCTTACCTGTTACTCATTCCCTCATTACTCCACAGTGTTTATACCACCTCACTATCACTTGTCCTTTGCCAGATTGTCTTGTCTATTCTGCCAAGCTCTACAGTGTTTGATTATTCTCGTCCTACCCGGTTTTGACCCCTGCCTGCCTGTATTCGGACCTCGAGTTTCCTGCCTGCCCCCTGTTTGGATTTGTTTGCCTGTCTGACGGATCACCTGGTTCTGAGCCCTGTTCTGCCTGCCCCTTCTCTGATTTGTTTGCCTTACTGCTGGATTTCCTGGTTTTGACCCTGCCTGTCCCTGACCTGATTAAACTGAACATTTCTGAACACTGGTTGTATCTGTGTCGTGCTATTGGGTTCTGATCTGTACCTGTGAGCGTGACAGTTAGTGCCAGAGAAATAACACGTTTGCTTGTATACCATGTTGTATAAGTATGATCCCTTTCATTAGGTTTTGGGTTTGATTCCAAATTATAGCATCTGTGGTCTTTTAGGGGTCGATTGTGAAAAAATCGTTCACATTTTTTTTCCTTTTTTAACTCAGAAATGAGGTTGGATTTTGTGGAAATGAGGTCCATTTACCATACGTTTCAAAAAGAAGAATAACACTTGTGCTAATAAGTAGGACTACAGTTGCTTTGAAAGGTGGTAACATAGATTAGGAAGACAACATAAGGGTTATCCAATGTTTTTGTGGAAAATATTGCACATTGTGTTTATCTGTATGCTAGTATAAGACTTTTTCTATCAAGATTTTATTAATAAAACATTTAGCCTACAGTCCGTTTATAAACAAGCTGAAATAAACCCAGCCAATCGTGCAACAAGCTGTTAATATAAGCTTTAACCAACTTCTGTAATA